TTTTTATATATAAATATTTTATTATCATTAAAATGTTTATGGCATGGGGCGCGTTTTGTAGGTCTCTCTTGAGAGAACGCGGTATTATGGTGTATGGAGGATTGATTGGTGATGGACGAGTTTTTATGGTGAATGGGCAAATTGTAATGAGTCAATGGGTCGTGAATCGGATTAGCTAGGTATAAGAAAGTTAGCGATGACCAGCCTCAACCCCTTCTCTGTGTTTGGCCTTGTGCCATAATTATGTATTTTTACATAATAAATACCGAGAGAGAGAGAGAGAGTGAAGGAGAAGACGCAAGCTCGTCCGACCTTCCAATTAGTGGCACTCACTACTAGATTGATCTGTCTGTATAACTGTACCGTATTTCATATTGTACTTGTTGTGTACAATAAACCCTTTCTTCTAGTATCCACCTGGTGTTATGTGTTTATTTCCTTAGCATGGAAATACAAATATATTATGGCTATCTTTATTTTGAGTTTAGGAAAATTATTGTCGAAATAGCTACATTTTTAATACAGTCTTAAATAAAAGGTCTGTCTGAATGGCTTTTATAAGCCTTGCGTAGTTGAAAAGATTTCTTTGAAAGTAACCCTTTTCTGCTTATTATATGCAAACATCTTTGATTGTCAGGTTAGATATTAAATGATAGGGTTTTTAAAAAAGGACAAAAAATGTAACTTTCTATTATTATTTTTTCTCAGTGGAAGACACCTTATATTCATCTGAAATATTTTTTTATTATATGTTGAAATATTAATCTATTATCTATGAATGATTACACTGTAGGTACTAACTACCTATAAAGTCAACTGTCTTCGATAGACGGGAGTACAAGGAGAGTGAAGATGCAAGCAAGTCCGAACTTCCAATTAGTGGCACTCACTACTAGATTGACCTTAATGAAAGAATGTACCGTATTTCAAATATTGTAAATTGTTCTGTACAATAATCCTTTCTTTATTATCTACCTGGTGTTAATTAGTTATAATTAGCACGGAATATGACATATTCTAAATTGTAAACTTGGAGGATTAAAATCATTTGACACTCGACTCCTTCTGATTAGAGATTGCGAGAAATAAAACTGTTGTGTCGGAAACCTACCACCCCTCTTGAAGATGAACTTGTCTGCGTCTGTGAACAAAGACTTTAAATAGTGGCATGTCAGTTGACATGAAGGATAGCTAGACAGAGAAGTTCTTAGCTGAGCTAGTTATTGACTACTCAGGCGATTTCTGTACCTTGTTACCAACTTATTTAAAACCCTTTTTATTGTTATGTGTTATTTGGCGTTTGTCTCTACTAACCCCAAATCAACATCATAACAAAAACTAAAGGTAACATTAAAGTTTAAACATGTAAAATGTGTTTAAAATTGATGCAAATACTTTATATATTATACTGCTTGTGTACAATAAACCTTTCTTCTATTATCCACCTGTATTACGTGTTTATTCCCTTAGCACGGAATATGACAGTTCCGACGAGGATTGTCGGAACATAACAAAGCCAAGTAAGAATGTGTTGTTTTGGAAAAACAGGAACATTGTTTGTGTGTTTCGGTCTGCGGTTGTGGCTAGCTAAGTTTTTAAATTAAGACAGATGATGACCGTCCCTTTTCCCCACTCCCTTTTTAGGCCTTGTGCCACATTTTCTGCTATTATTACAGAAATAAATAAAAGGGCGAGAGAGAGAGCTAGAGAGAGAGAGAGAGAGAGATAAATAATCTTTTGCACGTCCGACCTTCCAATTAGTGGCACTCACTACTAGAAAATTTTGTGTATAAACTGATTTACCGTATTTCATATTGTCTTCTTGGATTAATCCACCTGGTGTTACATATTTATTTCCTTAGCAGGGAATATAACAGTTCCAACGAGGATTGTCGGAACATAACAGAGCCGAAAAAAAGGAAAATTAAACGCTATATTTGAAATTTTTAACTTCTAGGAAAATTAAAAAAAAAACAAAAAGAAGAAGAAATCAGAATGAAAGATTGGAATAAATAAAAAGTTAAAAGAGGGTTTAACAAAAAAATTTTGACGTGATAATGTCGTTTTTTGACGTTAAATAAAACGTCAAAAACGACATTATTTTTAAGCATTTGTTTAATAATTCATTTCCAAAAATATCCATCTTTGGCCGGGTTTCTAATTAAATGCAGTGTGTGTTTTAATTACGAATCGTTTCTTCGGCCCTCACCTCTAACTCTAGAAACATGAATAAAAACGAACATCTTTTAGGTTTTTCCCATAAATATCTAATGAAGTGTGGTTTAATCATTTTTAATTAATTAAGGTTGAATTCATCATTGTCATCATTCAAGGACCTCTATATGGTTGGGCGGAACTCCATTGACCATCCTTTTCCACACTGTTCGGTCCTGCATTGCTATCAACAGATCCCCAATGTCCAACAGTGAGTCCCGAGCTATGGTGTCTGGGGTGAGACGATTTCGATGTCCGCTTGGTGGCAGTGGCCGGCAAACTGTAATCGTTTCTCTCTATATTTCTAAGATGAGGTATTATGTACACTATTTACATTATTCGAACTATTGTCCTCATCATTGATGCCATATTTATCACAACGTTTCGGCCGTTGTACGCTCCGGACTTCTTCAGTATCTGTCTATATTTCTAAGACGAGGTATACACTATATACATTATTCGGACTATTGTCCTCATCTTTATTACAACGTTTCGGGCAACATCCATTAAACAGCGCGCGTGGAACTAGAACAGTCTACCCCAGTGAGCGAAATAAATGGTTCAATTCGACATTCCAACCACCTGAAGAAGAGCGGAGCTTATAAGGGCCGAAACGTTGTAATAAATATGGCGACAAAGATAAGAACAATAGTCCGAATAATGTAAAATTGTAATCGTTTTTTATTTGACCTTAAGAGATATTGGTCTCAATTCTCCGTAAATTGTGTTAAGCGTTACATGGGATCTCTAACTGATGTTCTGGATTGTTCTGAGTAGATTTGTATATGTTTCATCCAGTCGTCTTTCAAGACGAATAGATAATGTCCAAGTTTCCGATCCGTACAGTAGGAATGGTTCAATTAATGTTCGAAAGGTTTGGACTTTTGAGGAGAATGGATGATTCGAACGCCAAATGCAGTGATGTTTGTTAAAAATGCATCCCATGCAAGAATTTGCAGATGATGAAACTTTTTATATAAATCTATTATGTGAGATCCAAGAATGTTTTTTTTTTTGACTCTTTTGATATATGTATTGAGTGACTTCCATTCGGAATGTTCAAAGGAGGTTGAGATATATTCTGTCTTAAGGTTGAATAAAAAGGCTGTGCAGTCAAAAATCTTAACAATGAATACTTGCATTTATTTAATAGTCCTCCTTACCAAATTTTTTTTTTTTCCTGTTTTAATTACCATGAAATTGAGGTCCAGATCCCCCCCACCACCACCACCACAACAATACCAAGGTCATGCATTCTGGAGGGAGCTAACCTCCTTCCCATATGTTTAAATAATTATTTACTAAAAAAATTTATGGCTTCCAGTCCAGATAAGACCCCACTGCAACAGAACCAGGGATGTAATTTCTGGAGGGGGGGGGCTTACGGGGCTAAGCCGCTTCCAATATTTTAAAAATATTTTTTAAATAGTTATTTATTTAATTACTATACTCTATTGTTTCCAAACAAATAAAATCGATTTATGTAAGTTAAAATTAAGTTCTTGTATCTTCTTTTCAAATTATAATTTTAATAAAAAAAAAAGCAGTAAATAAATTAAGGCATTTGTTTTTTTAAAAAAAAAAAAAGGCAAAATATATATATATCCTCATTTCTATTTCAAAAATATAGAGGGGGTCTTATCCCTCAAATCCCCTACTCCAGAACAGCCCTAAAATCAATTTTCAATCGATTTTTATTTTATAGTTACCGAATTTTTCTACCTTGTCAAAATTACCGAATTTTCCGCGCACCCTTTGACACAGGTCATCATCCGGGCTTCTACGGTTTAGAGGTATCTTTTAAGACTGATTTTGGTGGTTTTGAAAGATAGTTCTAGTTGAACTGTTCCTCCGCTTTATCATTATTATTATTATTATTATTATTATTATTATTATTATTTATTATTTTTTATTTCTTTGATTTCTGGCGTTTACATTTCTTTCCGGGTCCCGCCCAGGGACTTTAAGGTTAGAAATGGCGTCATGACACTTTCCACTGACAAAAAAAAAAAATTACATAGATAAAGCCCTTCGTAAAGTGTGGGCTGTACTTGTCAGAACAATTTTTTTGTATCTCTTTGAGGCATGGACTTCCAAGAATCCCATCAATTAGTCTACTGGAATCTTTCCAACCAATCCTACGGCTCCAACTACAACAGGGATTGTTGATGTTCCCATATGCCACATTTTTGAGATTTCTATTTCAAGGTCCTTGTATTTTGACAGCTTTTTGAATATCTTCAAAGATACATTGCAGTCAGCAGGGACTGCCATATCAATAAGGAGGCAAATTTTTTGTTTGTGGTCTTTAATAACAATGTCTGGCAGTTGGCTTTGATTGTTCTGTCAGTGTGTATTGTGTAGTCCCATAGAATTGTAACAGGTCCTATCTCCGTAACCGGGTCTGGGTGGTGTTCGTACCATTTTCTTTCAGTTTCCTTCCCGTAGAAGTTGCAGATTTTCCAGTGCAGATATTGGCCCACTCTGTCATGCCGGGTTTTATACTCAGTGGGTGCCAATATCGTGCAAACTGATGCAAGATGACCAATTGCTTCTGGATATTTATCACAGAATCTGTATTTTGAGCTGAACACAATATTTTAGTATATGTGCTTGATAATTTCTAGTTAACAAGCATTTGTCTTTATTATTATTATTATTGTCCTTATTATTATTATTATTATTATTATTATTATTCTTATTATTATTATTCCCTTTGCGCAGTGTCCTGTCAGGCCTCTGGCTCAGAGCAGTAACCACTGTGCTGAGCACCCTGAAGCAATAAATTATCTCCCAGTAACGGCAGCGATGGGAAAGACTACTGGCGCCAAATGAATCTCCGAAAAGCTAAATAGGAAGGAAAGAAGAGATGCAAGTGTGGCGCCCGACCTGGGGGTAAAGAAAGCAAAGTCAAGGTGGGGGCTGTCTTTTGTCCCTGTCAGAAACGGACACACACTTGTTGATTTCCGGCTGGAAATATGATTTCGAGATGCGCGTGTCTCAGATCTGGGGGACGATGTGAGGGATTCCGTTCCCACTTTTATTCATTTATTTTTCGATTCTCTTTGTTCTTTCGTCTATTTCCTTATTTAACCGACATGAACCTTTCCAATAACATATTCTTTGTAGTGAGCAAAACAAGATCTAGATTTAAAATTCAAATGCTAAGCACTGACTCATTGATTTTGTTATAAATTAAAAAGACTCGAATTTACAAACTTTGCTTAACACACACGCAAATGCGAATCCAAAACAAAACTCGTGAAATTTCACACCTTGATGCGAAATGTTTCTCGGACAATAGAAAACTAGGAAACATTTAAAAACAAAATTCAAATAATCTTCAATTCTCAGAAACAAATTCTTTTACTGACCTTTTTGCGAGACGACGCAAAAAAATGTTCATCGTCCAATGGAAAGTCCTGAATTATATCCGGGGGTGAATTCCCAAATGACTTTTTCAATCCCCACAAACAAAATAAAAGACGGGCAAGTTTCGCTTGTGACCAAAGAGAAGGAGACGAGCGCATTTACATGTCCCTTGACAAACGTCAAGCGATCATTATTATTATCTCTACCTTTCTCCCTCACCTCTTTTATAATTGATAAACGAACGGAACATTTTAAGACTGAGCGATTACTTCAAAGACATTCCTACCCTTCGATAACGCTCATACATACATACATCCACACATACGTTCCTGCCTACGTACACATAAACTCATTCTTGCAAGGACTACTACGAACACTTTGACGACTTTGTATCAAACAAAATACATTAATAAACAAGCCAGTCACTAACTCGATTCGTTTTATTGAAGAGTATTGCATTAGTAGCAGTAGTCGTCACTTTTTACAAACTCACAATATATATTTCGGTTGAGCTCTCGGGGGGGGGAGTGTGAGTTTGTAAACAGTGACTATTACGGCTATTATAGCAAGACTCTTCGGTAAAGCGAATCCTCTCAGTCACTGTGTGTTTATCTAAAATTAAATTATTAGCCGACGCGTTTCGTCCAATGTGGACTTTTCAAGGCAAAAACGAAATGAATATATTAAAAGAAAGTAACAAGACCACAAAGTTACAAAAATAGGAAACGCTATATTTTAATTTTTAAGGATTTTTCAATAAAGAGAATTACGTTGTACTGAGACAATTGTAAATGTTGCTAAAATCAGCAGATAGATAGATAGATAGATAGATAGATAGATAGATAGATAATGAAAAAAATGTGATAGATAGATAGATAGATAGATAGATAGATAGATAGATAGATAGATAGATAATACAAAGACTATGATAGATTGATAATGGATATAAGATAGATAGGTAACGGATATAGGATAGATAGATAGATAGATAGATAGATAGATAGATAGATAATAAAAAGTCTGGGAAATGATAGATAGATAGATAGATAGATAGATAGATAGATAGATAATAAAAAGTCTGGGAAATAATAATAGATAGATAGATAGATAGATAGATAGATAGATAGATAGAATGACTGTGATAGATTGATAATGGGTATAAGATAGATAGGTAACGGATATAGGATAGATAGATAGATAGATAGATAGATAGATAGATAGATAGATAGATTGTGATAGAGAGATAATAAAAAGTTTGGGAAATGATAGATAGATAGATAGATAGATAGATAGATAGATAGATAAACTAGTTATGTTTATTTGTCGACGTACAGCAAATTGCCCCGAATATCAGACCCCTAATCAACTATTTAAGCGAAATGATCGTAGCTGCATCAGGACAAAACGTTGAATCCTTGAACGTCATTGATGACTCATTCAACATTCTCTACATGTCGTTGTTTCTCTTGATTGTCTTCGTGCTTTCACTAGCGATAACGGCCGTCCACATCTGGACACTTGGCTTTCGGCGACACGACTTCAATTTTTCTTATTCCCCTTTGTCAACAGAAATGGCGACTGGCCTTACTCACGAGATGATTATAGAGAAATATAGTATTTTGTCCAAAATTTGAAGGCGCCCCGAGCGTATACGTGAAATGTTATACGCGACTGGATAACTAGAAAGGAAGATAAGATTTCTCTAATAATTTTATTGTTGAATATCCTAAGCTTTGTAAAAATATCTATGTATTGCCAACTTCAATTTTTCAGACTAGACTGACAGCCTTCAATTCGACATGCTCTTTCCCCAACACCGGAAGTTGTTATAAAACCAAAACATTTAACCTGAAAACCCGAGCCATTTTCTTGGAGAACGTCAGTCTTCCAGAGGGATGGCATTCAAGCCGGCAAACACGTTCTAAACGGCTACCTGCATAGAACCGCTTTCGCAGATGGTTAAATACGGCTTCGAAGCAAAAGAAGCCGGTAGATCTTAGCGAAGACTTTCATTCTTCGAACATCGTGCACTGGCGATAATAAAATCACAACCCAAAGTGTACCAAATAACAGAAAATTACATTATTTGACATCTTTTAACGGCGGTAACATCTAAAATGTATATCGCATGTAAGTTGAAGAGAAAATAATGACGATATTCAGTCACCCCCCACGAGGGTGTCATGTGGCACAAGGCCTTTTTAACGTGGGCATTTCCGAGCCATTAGGCTCGGCCAAAAAAGATAGCCCATTTGAACCCGTATAAACGGGTTCAGGGCCGGTTTTACCTCCCCGAAAGAGACTCCGCCCTTCGGCGTAGCCTCCTTCGGGTTCCTCCCGCCTGTAGGAAGAGAGTTGAACCGAACAGTCGCTCAGAAAGAGAAAATAATGACTTAATCAAAATGCTGACAATCCAAACGACTTCAACTGAAAGGTTAGGAAGGAAACCGTCTTCAATACTGGAAGGAATAAAAACATTGGTCTAGAGACATATTTTTCTAAAAAATGTATTAAGAGAAAAAATTCAACCGACTAAGCTCTGGCTGCTTGGTCAATGAATACCGAAAGATTCATTCTAAGGAAAAGGTAATTACTGTCATTACAATTAGAGATAAGAAGAACAGATACTACACTTTGATCTCAGGGCGATGGCTAGGGAGTGATATTTACTTGACTCCCACCGGGTCAGGATGTGACACAAGGTCGTTTAACGTGGGAGACCCGAGTGTTTCCACTCAAGGGCCACTGGTCAAAAACTGGTCATAGCATGTCCAAGATGGTAAGAGCTTAGTCAAAGCTGGTCATGGCTTGTCTTAGCTGGTCCAGGCCGGAGCCAGTCCAAGCTAGTCGTAGCCGTGATCGAATCTCAGCCAAAGGCCGGGAAACGATCCAAATATTGTCAAAACTGGGCGGAATTCGCCGAGTTGCGATGGCCAGGGAGTGAAAAAAAAGCGTACCTCGAGTAGCAATGGCTGCTTGGTTAACCCCTTCAGCGCTGCGTCCTGAACAATTTTAAGCCTTCTGCCTGAGCAAAATTCGCAAATAATTGGTATATAATGTTTAACGGTATATATATAAATATAGGTACAAATGTTTACCCACTGTTCAACCGGTGGCTGGGCATTAATTCATTTTTCTCTACCACCGTTCAACCGGTGGGTGGGCAATACGCCATTTTTCTCTACCATCAGTATAGCGGTGGTCGACGCTCAAAGTGTTAATAAATGCCGAATGTTTGCTAATAAGGAAATGGTTAATATTATCATTACCATAAAAGATGAAGAGAACAGATACTACACTTAGATCCCTGCCTGATGGTCAGGGAGTGAAGAAAAGCGTACCTCGAGTAGCACTGACTGCTATTTTAATAAATGCCGAATATTTGCTAATACGGAAATGGTTAATATTATCATTACCATAAAAGATGAAGAGAACAGATACTACACTTAGATCCCTGCCTGATGACCACGGAGTGAAGAAAAGCGTACCTCGAGTAGCACTGACTGCTATGTTAATAAATGCCGAATATTTGCTAATGGTTAATATTATCATTACCGTTAGAGATTAGGAGAACAGATACTACACTTTGCATTTACGTGCCGCCTTGCGCTGGTAGGATGTGACACAAGGTCAGTTTAATATGGGATGGAGGCAAGCGAGTGCACCCAGGTCAGGCCCAGCCCTTTGGTTACATTGGTATCGACATACCAATGAGGGAGATTCTGGTGTGAGCAGGACCAAACACCTCTCAATATTATTCAGTTGCGCTCTGTCCGAAGACAGAAGCCCAATTTTGATATAAAATGTAGCTTGTCCTCCCTGTGGCATAAACTGCACTTAGATCCCAGGTCGATGGCCAGTGATTTTTTAATTTTTTTTGTTATTCATTTCTTACTGATAGTTCATTCAATACAAGGCCCAAGAGTCTCTCAAGATATAGTGCTACAGAGTTTGATTTTAAGAGAGGATGAGTTGGATAGATATCGGTTGAACCTGCGTTTAAAGAGATCAAGTTTATCGTTGTCAGGAAAGCATTCTCTCGGGAGCTTGTTTCATGTAGTACCATTTCCGGGCAAGAAGAACACGAATGGAATGGGGATGGTTTGTCCCTGTGAACAGGACGTGGCGTGTTCCAGCCCGTGACGGTCCGAGCTGGTAGTGTGAAGGGTAACTTGAGTAGCACCGGCTGCTCGGTCAATGATTACCTTATGTTTCTTTATAAGGAAATGGTTAATATTATCATTACCCACTCATTCCGCGGACTGAGATGAGGTATTATGGTTACTTGCATTATTTATATTATTCCTCAAGGACACATGGCCCAGTGCATAAAGAAGTGGATAAATAGTTTCTTATCTCGCACTTCTTGCTTGTGGAACTCCCTTTCGGTTCTATGCCTTCAAACCAACTTTAATCCACAAAAATTTAAATGCAATGTTAATTGCTATCTAATGTCTTTCTAATTACTCTTTCCTCCTTCTCCACATTACTAATGTTTCCTATTTCTAATTCTTCCACATCCTGCAAATCTTTGCTGTACTGCTTGCTTGGGGTGATACCGATTAAAAAAAAAATTTAGTAATAATAGTCCGATTGATTCATTCGTTTATATTACGGTTTATCAACCTGTTTTCAGGTTATTTTAAGCCATTTTTTATAATGTATTTTTTTATACAAGTCTTACTATTTAACCCATAACTTGGAGACAGAAGAAGTGGATTCATACCTTCCACTCGAGTATTGGCGTGTAAATGAATATAACGATCCCGACTGGAATTCGAACTCTACTCTCAGAGTTATTCTGAAATTTTCTCCACCCGCACATCCAAGATTACGGTATCTGCTATTCGCAAGCAGTCACCCATCCAGGTATAGACCCATTGCTTAACTTCGATGATCGGACGAGAGCTACTGTTTCAACGTGATATGGCCATAAGCCTTGTCATTAGTCCGACTGAATATATTTAGATAAAAAAAAATTCCGACTTTATCCAGTTCGATCAACATGGCTGAATGTTTAGTTCAAAGCCAGGTAGGAAATATTGATTCTATTTTAAGTCCGTTCTTCGTCTGAGTGGTTATAATTTTGCTGCCAATCAGTTTTATCTGACGTCGATGTCTAATGATCAATCGATTGGCGACTTTGTATGCGGCTATATTAATAGTGATCAATATGTGTGGATGCCGTTTGGATTGTAGAGATCTGATGTCGGACGGGAAGAGGTGATGGGGCGTTTGAAAATATTGAAGTTGAGGTTTCTTCAATGGCTGAGATATTTCTGCAATTCTACTCGGATCTGTCGTAGGTTGTCGGACTTCCACTTTTCAACGAAAACAGAAGGACTCACCTCGACAGCCACCGCTCAAAATTGCTTAAATGGGCTTCATTTTAGGCCGGCTCCGCGCATCCCGGAGAAAAATGGAAAAAAATTTAAAGAGTCATAAAAATATTTTATGACCAACTAAAAAAGACACGCGCAACATCAACCAACGGATCTTTTCCTAGCCATTTTCAAAACTGGATAAATTCGAAACTGTATAATTTGATTCCGCAGCTGCCACGGTCATTTGCCTGTTGCTCGCCCATATCAACACTGTATAAACCGCCATCAATTCGACTCCATTTGCCTGTTCTTCTCCCGCTTTGGGGCAGGCATCCCGAAGCCCGAAGGCAGCCATAAAGTAGCCAGGAGTCTGCTAATGATAGCAGCAACCGAGACCACTACGAGATAAAAAGGTCTACCCCTTCTCTGCAATAAAACTCATACAAGTGGATATCCTCCTCGGGAATTTTGTTTAAGAGTATGAAGCTTCAGTATCTGTCTATATTTCTGAGATGAGGTATTATGTACACTATTTACATTATTCGGACTATTGTCCTCATTTTTGTCGCCATATTTATCACAACGTTTTGGCCTTTCAGTATCTGTCTATATTTCTGAGATGAGGTATTATGTACACTATTTACATTATTCGGACTATTGTCCTCATCTTTGTCGCCATATTTATTACAACGTTTCGGCCTTTCAGTATCTGTCTATATTTCTGAGATGAGGTATTATGTCACTATTTACATTATTCGGACTATTGTCCTCAGTTTCGGCCGTTCAGTATCTGTCTATATTTATTATGTACACTATTTACATTATTCGGACTATTGTCCTCATCTTTGTCACATATTTTTACAACGTTTCGGCCGTTCAGTATCTGTCTATATTTCTGAGATGAGGTATTATGTACACTATTTACATTATTCGGACTATTGTCCTCATTTTGTCGCCATATTTATATCACAACGTTTCGGCCTTTCAGTATCTGTTACACTATTTCATTATTCGGACTATTGTCCTCATCTTTGTCGACATATTTATTACAACGTTTCGGCCTTTAAGTATCTGTCTATATTTCTGAGATGAGGTATTATGTACACTATTTACATTATTCGGACTATTGTCCTCATCTTTGTCGCCATATTTATTACAACGTTTCGGCCTTTAAGTATTATATTTCTGAGACGTTATCATGTACCCATTATTCGGACTATTGTCCTCATCTTTGTCGCCATATTTATTACAACGTTTCGGCCGTTCAGTATCTGTCTATATTTTTGAGATGAGGTATTATGTACACTATTTACATTATTCGGACTATTGTCCTCATCTTTGTCGCCATATTTATTACAACGTTTCAGCCCTTCAGTATCTGTCTATATTTCTGAGATGAGGTATTATGTACACTATTTACATTATTCGGACTATTGTCCTCATCTTTGTCGCCATATTTATTACAACGTTTCGGCCTTTCAGTATCTGTCTATATTTCTGAGATGAGGTATTATGTACACTATTTACATTATTCGGACTATTGTCCTCATCTTTGTCGACATATTTATTACAACGTTTCGGCCTTTCAGTATCTGTCTATATTTCTGAGATGAGGTATTATGTACACTATTTACATTATTCGGACTATTGTCCTCATCTTTGTCGACATATTTATTACAACGTTTCGGCCTTTAAGTATCTGTCTATATTTCTGAGATGAGGTATTATGTACACTATTTACATTATTCGGACTATTGTCCTCATCTTTGTCGCCATATTTATTACAACGTTTCGGCCGTTGTACGCTCCGGCCCTCCTCAGGTGGTTGGAATGTCGAACGGAACCCTTTATCTCTCTCACTGGGGCAGACTGTTCTAGTTCCACGTGCCATGCTTTGATGGATGCCAATTGTCAGTCATCTCCTGTTAATTCCCCTCTCAAGTTTTCCACTGCCTTAACCGGATATTGAACTCACACTCTCTGAGTCCTGCCACTGGATCGGTTAAGGCAGTGGAGAACTTGGAGAGGGGAATTAACAGGAAATAACTGACAATTGGCGGAACCGTCATTTAGCTTGACCTGCCTTTATCAATATAGGATACAGGTTCGAATCCTGTCGGAGGACGAATATTTTCTGTGAAAATTTCTCGGACATTCAGGCCAGTAAATGTTGTTTAATACTGTTTATTATAAACAGAGCATTTACTTAAATATGTGTATCTATAAAAAGAATGTATAAACATAAAAATGTCTTAAAATAATTGTCGGACTTTGTTCATTTTAATATATATATATATATATATATATATATATATATATATATATATATATATATATATTACATGAATCCTTCATACAAAAACAGATTAGTGAAGTTAATGGTATAAATGACGAGAATACATATTCGCAAACAAATTTCTTAAAATTACATTAACCCACGATGAATGTTATGATCCCAGTTTTAATAAATTCAACTTGTATGAGGTCTTTTTATTTGCAAGTACTTTCATCTGTTCATACAGACATCATCAGGCATGGAAATTGATTGTTTTTGTTTTTTAAAATACATCCAGGTAATAACGGGACATGAAAGATTAGATGTGAATCGAAATAGGTTTTCTAGAAATGTGTTATTGTTTAACGGTAAGAAATTTTGGAGCGTGCGGTCGCAACGCTAAGTTTGAATTTTTTGAAAATTTAAAAGAGAGTGTGTTTTTTTTACTAATATGGTAATTGAAGAATTCTTTTGTTGCAGGAATTTTTTTTCAGTCGATGTGGCATGAACTAAATTGTTCAATAAATAGAGCAATGTCGCAGCTATTATCCCAGAAGTTGCACGTCAGATCAGTTCTTTTTAAATCATATATATATATATATATATGTGTGTGTGTGTGTGTGTGTGTGTGTGAGTGTGTGTGTTGTTGTTGTTGTTGTTGTTGCACTTTTTGTTTGACAGTTTGATATGCGTCTGAAACCTTAAGACGTCGAATGCTTAAATTATCACATTTTGAATATTGCAATGTTTCTCACCATTCGTGGACTTACAAATTTAACAATATCAAAAACAACCTGGAGCAACACAATCTTTATTTACAATAGATTGGCTTTTTGATATGTGCTTGTATTGTTTGAATTGTGGATATCAATATGTTTATCACTTCAAACGTTGAGAGGGAATAGATAAACTAGGACAAAGAATGAAGCATATATAATCGAGAAGAAAGAAAGAAAGAAAGAAAGAATATATAGACGAGAAGAAATACAGAAAACATAGGCGAGAAGAAAGAAAGAAAGAAAGAAAGAAAGAAAGAAAGAAAGAAAACATAAGTGAGAAGAAAGAAAATAAAGAAATTAAAGAATGAAAAAAAAGAAAAGAAAAGGAGGAAAAAATGGTATAGACGAAAAAAAAAGGACAGAAGATATGGGCGAAAAAGGAGGAAAGATGGTAAAGAAAGAAAAAGGACAGGGTGAGAAGAAAGAAAGAAAGAAAGAAAAGAAAGAAAGAAAGAAAGAAAGAAAGAAAGAAAGAAAGAAAGAAAGAATATATAGGCGAGAAGAGAGGAAAGAGGAAATAGACGGAAAAAAGAAAGAACACATAGCCAATAAGAAAAAAAAAAAAAAGAAAGAAAGAATAAATAGACGAGAAGAAATACAGAAAACTTAGGCGAGAAGAAAGAAAGAAAACATAAGTGAGAAGAAAGAAAAAAGAATGAAGAAGATATAGGCGAAAAGGAGGAAAGAAGTACTAGACGAGAAAAAAGAAACACATAGGCGAGAAGAAAGAAAGAAAGAATACATAGGCAAGAAGAAAGACAGGCAGAAAGAAAGCATTGACGAGAGTAAAGAAAAATGAAAAATAAATAGGCGAGAAGAAAGAAAGAAAGAAAGAAAGAAAGAAAGAAAGAAAGAAAGAAAGTATACTTGAGAAGAAAGAAAGGAAAGGAAGAAGGATGGAAGAAAGATGACGTAAAGTAGAAAGTAAGAGTGCGTTGTAGCAAAGAAAGAAAGAAAGAAAGAAAGAAAGAAAGAAGAATATATAGTCGAGAAGGGAGGAAAGAAAGCATAGACGAGAAAAAATAAAAAATACGTAGGCAAGGATAATGGGAGAAAGAAAGAATATATAAACGATAAGAAAGACAAACAGAAAACATAAGCGAGAAGAAAGAAAGAAAGAAAGAAAGAAAGAAAGAAAGAATATATAGGAGAGAGGAAAAACAGACAGAAAGAATTCATAGATGAGAATAAAGAAAAATTAAAAATAAATAGGCGACAAGAAAGAAAGAAAGAAAGAATACATATATAAGTGAGAAGAAAGAAAGAAAGAAAGAAAGAAAGAAAGAAAGAAGATATAGACGAGAAGGGAGGAAAGAAGACCAGAAAAAAAGAAAGGACACATACGCGAGTAGAAAGAAAGAAACAAAGAAACAAATAAACAAAATAAGACTTAGCCGATAGAGAAAGAAAGGAATGAAAAATAACGAAAGTAACATGTAATCCTTAGTGAAAAAGAATATAAAACGGAGAAAGAAAGAAACATGCCATAGCATGAAAAGAAAGAAAGAAAGAAAGAAAGAAAGAAAGAAAGAAAGAAAGAAAGAAAGAAAGAAAATATAGCAGAGAGAAGAAAAAACAAAGAAGGAATGATGAAAGATGTCATCGTAGAAAGAAAGAACTGGAAGAAAATAAGATATGATAAGCAATAAAGGGAGGGAAGAAAAGAAAGAAAGTGTAAAAGAAAGAGAAGATGTCACTTGACGAGAATGAGAGGGGTAAGCTGTCAGATTGTCTCGCGGTAAGATGGTGGCTGTAGAGGGTCGTGTAGAGAAGAGCACGTCGTTTCTGGGAGTCTGGGACCGCGTTTCATTAATCTGAATGATCCGGCATTCCCAAAACTTGTTGGAATTAATCTTCGGATTTCAGAATGAAATGAAAAGGAAAAATTGCCCGACCCTGGGGACGTGTTGGGCTTAGCTTGAAGCAGATATCGCCCATCACATATCCAACGCCAGGGCCCACGAGTTGCAATGGCAAGACAAGAACGAAAAACCAGCAACAGCTAATCGAAACAGAAATGGCACTCACTTTAGTAGTAGTTCTCCACTGAATATCCTAGTTTGGCTCAAGGCCACAATAATGGAGCACGAAAAATGACCGCGTTAGGGAAGGCGCACATCTTCAATACTAGTACCTCATTAATAGTCTGGCACAAGATACAATAATGGAGTGCACCTAGTGATTATGTCCTGGGTATGACGATAAACTACATCCAGCAGCAACATCTCTGATCGGGATTTTCTGAGGTTTGTGGAACAACCTCTTAATTGCTGTTGTTCCCAGATCCATCATGACCCAGGGTGGTAGCACCTGTTAGGGTCCCAGCTATGGGCAAACAGTGAACCACGGAACTGGGGTAATAAAAAAATGAAAGTATAGATTTAAAAAAAAAAATAACATAAATTACCAGCAACAGATATTTGTAAAAGATAAATAAAATTCCAAAGAATAGATTTTTGTAAAAAGAAAAAAAATTACTCAAGATCCCAAGAAAATTAAATTTTGTTACTAAATGACCCATAAGGAGTTGATATGCCATTAGACGAACAATCAAACAAACGCAGTGAACGAAATAATTAGTCTGACAAATTGGCCCGCAAGATTAGATTTGCTGAGCATCAGATCATTAATAGGCTAAACTTAGTCAGGCTCAAGATCACAATAATTGAGTGATGGTAATTAGACTAGAGAATTGGCCGGCTCTCCTGACTTTTCTTGAATATCGCGCTACGGGAAACTCCCATCAACATTACTAAAATTTCAATACGAGGCTCAACTGAACCTGGTTCAAGGCTGCAAAAATTGATCCCACGTAGTGAACAAAATCATTATTTTAGCGAACTGGTCATCGCGACTAACTTTCTTGAGCATCATGCTACAGGAGGCAACCGTCAGCACTACTAGTCGTTCATTACAACTGTGTCTGGCACAAGGCTACAATAAATGCGCGCGATTATGAAACAAAATTATTTTTCTGATGAACTGCTCGGCGAGACTATTTTTAATAAACGTCACGCTACAGAAAACAATTAACTGCATTACTAGTAGTTCATTACTAAGTTCTACTAAGTCTGGCACAAGACTACGATAAAGGAGTGCTTTTGGGGACAAAATATTTAGCAGAACAAATTGCACAAATCGAATGATTTTTTCTATCCAACTGCCTACGGGAAGCACCTAATTGCATTGCTAGTAGTTTATTTCAAGATTCTACTAAGTCTGGCACAAGACTACGATAAAGGAGTGATTTTTGGAACAAGATCTTTAGCAGAACAAATTGCACAGCGAGTAATTTTTTTCTATCCAACTCGCTATGGAAAGCACCTAATTGCATTGCTAGTAGTACATTATTAGGTTAAGTCTGGCACAGGGATACAATAAAGGAGTGCACGTAGGGAACGAATTACTAGTGTATTTTATTTCCTTTTTAGGGCCAATTAGGAAGAAATAAATAACTATATGTACGAATGCAAGAAACAGTGAAATGTTGTTATATGTTTCTTTTTCCTTCTTTTCAAAATCAAATACAATTTGGGCGGGTGGGTCATCGTTTGTGGAAAAACTCAGTACGTGTGTGCGAGCTAAAAGTAGTAACGGGGGATACAAGAGATAGTTAGAATTTAGTTGTTACTGTGAACTGTGTTGCCATTGTTTGGGGCGGTCTCTTTGTAGTTTTCAGCGCGGTATCTTTTTGTGCGTGTACGTGAATGGGGTCATGACATCTGTGCGTCTCATGTCAAAATATTGCACACTGCCCCTCAATTGTTAACACACAAAAAATTATATATATATATATATATATATATATATATATATATATGTGTGTGTGTGTGTGTGTGTGTGTGTGTGTGTGTGTGTGTGTGTGTGTGTATTTAAGGATATGGTACCTAGACTTTTCGTATTTAAGCACAAGACTAGACTGGCGTCGAGATCTCATCAATTTACAACTGAGCTGGCTCGATGTAGCCGTAAATTCTATGCTAAGATTTTCTTTTTTTCTATAAAAATAAACAGGTTTTCCACAAAGTCTTCAGACAATTTCAAAAATCCTTTCGAAAAACTTAGAAGAGGTTGCAACTGGATCGTTGTTGCATATTAATATGTTCATATTAAAGTTCATTTAATGATGTTAATAATTTTATGAGGTTCAGGAAAACTGAACAGCGCCAACTCAACACCGCCGACTCAGCACCACCGACTGACAACTCAGAAACAATCAATCAACAACTACAATTTTGGTCTCTTTAAATCCACGAACAACTGATATATATAATCCAAGCAATACAAGTCCGAAGGGCGACTCAACGTAGACGGGTACAGGACAACTCAGCACCGCCAACTCAACACCGCTGACTCAGCACCACCGACTAACAACTCAGAAACAAATCAATCAGCAACTACAATTTTGGTCTCTTTAAATCTACGAACAACCGATATATATAATTCAACCAATACAAGTCCGAAGGGCGACTCAACGTAGAGGGGTACAAGACAACTCAGCACCGTCAACTCAACACCACCGACTCAACACCGTCGTGTGAGCGCTGGAACAACTCAAGACTAAGGCATCACGAGGCCGAAACAACTCAGCACCAGAAAAACATAACATTTTTATGACCAAATAGTAGTAATTCATGAAGGATTAAAACCCTAATTAGTGAATATTTTTTCTTCAAATTAGGCATTTGAAAAGGTATTATGTAAAATATTAAATAGTATTTTGTTTTTAATTATTTTTAATAAAGTAAATCGTAAAGAAATGTGTTTTTAATAAAGTAAATAATTTCAATAATTCACAACATCCAATGTTATAATACCTTTTTTTATAAAAAATAATTTAGAATCTCAGTTTAGTTTATTAAAAGATAAATTGCACTGCTGACAGTTTTACTATAGAATGGATTGAAAATCGGGAAGAAGAGAATTTTATTGGTCAGGAATATATACGACTATTACTGACATAAAATAGTCATTAATTGTAAGATGTGACACACTGTTAATGTTTTATTTTAATAGAAATCCACTGAAAATCAAAAATAAAGCAACTCTAATATAAACTCTTCAATAACGATCTTAAATGATTTTTCAGCGTGTATTTCATTAATCTACAAAGAACGGTCGGTCCTATTTGCTTTTTAAGTAAATGACATACCAAGTTTTATTATTCATTAAACTATTTAATTTATAAATTCCAATTTACTTTTTAAGTTCCAATAATTATATTACTAATATCCACAATCTCCCACCGGAAGCCTATAAATCTTTCCGACGTAGGGGTCCATTTCTGTAAAACAGTAACGCTATCGTAAAAGATTGCTAAGGAGAGAAGCTGTAAGAGCTTCAGCTATATTTGTCTCTTGGCTCAATATACACGTAGGACTCATATTTTAAACACCGCCTTGTACCATATTTACTTTTGATTAAGCTTCTGAATAAATACGTTATCTTTTTGTTTTGTTATTATTTCTGCTGCGTTTCTAGGAGTTCGAGGGAGTGATAAGAATTTAAAACAGAAGTCAGGTTCGGCCTGCAATCTCAATCATGCAAGCAATAATATGAATATAGTTTTCTTTTCATTCTACAGATAAATATTGAATAGGAAAGAGAGGAAAAAAAAAAGAAGATATTGTCGACTAAAGAAAGAAAATCCTTCATAATATGTATTTTTGCCTGCATATTCACAGTACAAATGTACGAGCGTGATTGCGTGTATATTTCTGTTAAGGAATCAGCCACCGCCGTCCCGTCGTTCTCTGTCTCGTCCATATTCTAGCACAACCTTCCTTCAAATACTTCCCTCTTCCGGCTGTGAGAGTCGTAAATGTATCTAAATTTCCGGACATGCGCATAGCACATGTAAAGGAATGTCTTACAAATCGCCCTTTCTACAATAAAGCTATCTTTTATAGCGACTCCCGGACATTGGCAAATGAAATATATATATATATATATATATATATATATATATATATATATATATATATATGAAAGCTGAACTCGTCTGGACGAAGAAAGGTCTGGGAGATTGAATGATGGGAAGGAAGTAGCTGTGAGACAGGGAAGAGCTGGATGGTAGGGGTAGGGAAATAAGTACACG